GAATTTGGCAGAGTGGCAGGGTACAAAAATTAATGAACAAAAATCAACAGCCATAGTGTACGCAAACAGCCCCAAGATGGAAAAAGATCTAACCAGCAAGATACCATTCAAAATAACAGAGGGAAGTATGAAGTATCTGGGAATAAATTTAACCAAAAGTGTAGGAGACCTATTTGAAGAAAACTACAAACTACTCAAAAAGGAAATTGAACAAGACCTCAAAAGATGGAATAACATCCCATGCTCCTGGATAGGTAAAATCAATATCATTAAAATGTCTATACTACCAAAAGCAATATATATTGTCAATGCAATTCCAATCAAATTGCCCAAAACATTCTTCACGGAACTGGAAACACAAAAAAACCACGAATAGCTAGAACCATCCTAAAGAACAAGAAGTTAGCAGGGGGAAATCACAGTTCCGGATCTCTGGACATACTATAGAGCAGTGGTTATCAAAACAGCCTGGCACTGGCACAAAGATAGAGAGGAAAATCAATGGAACAGAATAGAAACACCAAAAGGGAACCCACACAAATACAGCCAAATAATCTTTGACAAAAAAAACCAATGACAGTCCAAGCAAATGGGAAGGCCTTTTCAGTAAATGTTGGGACAACTGGCTGATAGCCTGCAGAAACAAAAAGATAGATCCACATCTATCGCCATACACTAAAATCCATTCTAAATGGATAAAAGACCTAAACCTACATCCAGAAACCTTCAAACTATTGGAAGAAAATGTAGGAAATACCCTGCAAGACCAAGGAGTAGGTCCTGACTTTCTAAGAAGGACACCAAAAGCAATAGCAGTGGAGAACAGAATAAACAAGTGGGAACTCATCAAACTAAGAAGCTTCTGTACAGCAAGGGAAACAATCAGCAAAGTAAAAAAGCAACCCACAGAATGGGAGAAGATCTTTGCACACTATGTAGGGGATAGAGGGCTAATCTCCAGAATATACAAAGAACTCCAAAACAACCAAAACACCAAAACAAACAAGCCACTCAAGAAATGGGCACAAGAAATGGGCAAACATTTCACAAAGGAACAGGCCCAAATGGCAAACAAACATATGAAAAAATGCTCCAGCTCCCTGGCAATAAGGGAAATCCAAATTAAGACATCGATGAGGTACCACCTAACACCAGTCAGATTGGCCCACATAAACAAGAACACCAACGACACTTGTTGGTGAGGATGTGGGGAAAAGGGAACCCTACTCCACTGCTGGTGGAGCTGCAAATTGGTACAGCCTTTATGGAAATCAGTCTGGAGAACACTTAAACAACTCAAAATCAGCATACCATATGATCCAGCAATAGCACTCCTAGGAATATATCCAAAACACCTGTTTCACGACAAACCAACATGCACCCCTATGATTATAGCAGCGCAATCACTAATTGCCAGAACATGGAAGCAACCAAAATGCCCATCAACAGAAGATTGGATAAGAAAACTTTGGTTCATCTACTCCATGGAATACTACACAACTATTAAAAAAAAAATTGCAGTTCTTTGTGGCTAAATGGGCCCAACTGGAAACTATAATGCTAAGGGAAATGAGCGAATCCCAAAAGGTTAGATACCACATGTTTGCCTTAATTTAACCAGCAATTTTATTCGTTTGTTGGTTTATTTGTTTTTGAACCTGTCATTGATACTGTCTCAATCCATGTGTTGTGAAAAATTGAACTTGCATTACTTTTAACATATTGTTTACTCAATACTATGTCAATCAATTTCGTAACATTGTAAATTGTTGCTGATGTTTTGTAGGGGCTTTTAACTGACCGGGACTTTACTCTGTTAGCTCTACCTTCAGACCAGAGAAGGTCTCCCCTAGAAACCGCTGGACTTATCTGGACAATAAGATGCTGAACTCTATGCTAGCATGCAATGAACGAATCCCAATTGAACTTCAACTGTGAATATGCAGCAAGGTGGAGGAATCCACCATGGGGGTAGGGTTATGGGAGGGGTAGGGGGAATCCCAGTGCCTATAAAACTGTATCACATAATACAATGTGATTAACAATAAAAAAAAAATACAAAGCTTCTTTTTTTTTAGATTAAATAGCTTCCATTGGGGAAAAAAAACAATAATAAAATTGGGCAAATGCCAACATCTGGGTTTGCTAGCTGAATCTCAACTCTGTCTGTTAATATTATGAAAGCTTGGCCAAATTTTCTTTCACTTATAAAATGCAAGGAATCATGTGAGGGTGAATTGAGGAAGTATAATCAAGGTGACTCCAGGTACTACTCAGTTCTTGAACTTGAACAAACTTTTTGGCAACTCCTATAAGGTCTGGGTTCCACACATCACATATGATGTGTATGTTTTCTATTTTAATATGTTTTTACTTGGAGTTTATTTGTATAGAACCCTGTAGGCACTGGAGGCTGTGCACAGTGGCTTAATATACTGACATCCCATATGGATGCTGGTTCAAATCCTCACGCTTCCACTTCTAATCCAGTTCTCTTCTAATGATACCAGGAATTCAGCAACACTTAGCCTTAGCAACTGTGGTAACTTGGAGATAATCCAGGAAATGAAAGATATCTCTCTTTTTTCTTTCTTCCTCTCTACCCATGTAATTTTGCCATTCAAGTAATAAATAAATAAATAAATAAATAAATAAATAAATAAATAAATAAATAAATAAATCTATCCTTAAAAAAGATTTGTGTCCCAGAAACTCTGATGGGAGGCAATGAAATTTAGGAATGAGAGGGTCAGGGCCAAGTCATGTTTGCGCACTGGCACAAAACCATGGTGTGCTTGAATATGGGCTATGTACACATAGATGCCATTTATACACATACATATGCCTTCACACACACGCACACACACACACACACACACACACACACACACACTCTACATAACTGCAGCCTGCCTCAGTGTCACACACTCACCCGTGTCTTTGGGATCCACATTGATGGGTGTCCGCCCTGCGATGATGGCAGCTCTCTTGGATGCCCACACAGTCAGGGATGTTCAGGGCACCACAGCAGATTCTCCTGTAGTCTCAAATCTGCTTACAGCACTTCCAAATAAAACTCACCCTGTCAGTGTGGCTGAGTCATTTACTCCGCAAGCCATGGGATGCGAGTAAAAAGTGAAGGAGTTGTTTCCACAACTTGAACTCGGTGGAATGGCAGAATCATGGTGTGTGTGTGTGTGTGTGTGTGTGTGTGTGTGTGTGTGTGTGTGTGACATACAGATAAGGAATTCTCACTCTAAATTTAAGACTCATTGGAACTTTTTGAAAATGATTAAAAACGCCACTCAAATTTTCTCACACATGTCCTAGACTTTTCTGTACACTTTGAAATCAAGAAACATATCATGGTGATAAAATTGTGACACAGTAATAAGAAAGGCAAAATACTATTTCCAAGTTGGACATGTTTCCTAAAAGAAGATTCTTGGATTGTGCGCTGAAAGTGTGGCCAGTGAACTTACTTTTACACAGTCTAAGCTAAATATGAACTTATGTGCTTTATCGCATCACTCACATCTCTTTAATCCCACTTACATTTAACTGTGTTTCTGACAGTGAAACGTGGTTTGTGGTCTATGTGTGTGCTAACACATGAGCTAACACACTCACAAGTGTATAAACCTAGACTACTAATGCCTTTTTGTAATAACACACTTTTAAATACGTATATAATCACGTTAAGGAATAGTGGTCATTTTAAGTTAATGGAAGCCAACATCATGCCCGAAAAAAAGAAAGAGAAAAATATTGTAAAATGATAAATTTGACGTATTTACTCACTTAACAAATTGAGTCAATGGTGGAGTTAACTACAATTTTTGAAGTTCTGTCAATACTAACTTTACGCATGATGGTGAAGCACAATTAAACACAAGAACTTGAAGCAATGTCAGTTTTGTCACACTTAAATGATTAAATGAAATGATACATGTTTCTGTCACTCAAGTGCGTCTTTTAACATCTTTATACATGTTACAATAATAGTATTAACTTATTTCAAGCATAGTAAAGGCTTAGTACTTCTCGCAGAAAAAAAAAATATTTGGAAATATTTCCAAATACACATTTTCAGGCATGATTCTGGTTCTGAACTGAGAATTTTTTTAACAAATACACGAGCCCGGCTACTCAGATCAAAGAGCATATTGTTTCTTTTTTTCTATTTTCATTTTGGTGGTGAAAGAGTTGCTATTGTATTTTTGTAAATATAAGCTTGGGTTTTCAGGTGGTCTTCACGTATTACATCCAATACTTCCCCAAGCAAGGTGTTTTGAATTACAGTTTTAAAGAACGATGGCCTTTGGGCACTTGCAGTAGAAATAATAACAATTGGACAAGGTCTCGTCACAGCAAACCAAAGAGGTGGTGCCTCTTCCATGGAAACGTAAAGTAACACCGAAATAATCATCCAGTCTGTATCTGAGTCTACACAAAGTTTCAAAAGAAAAAAATCACCTACTCTGTGGCTCTACAATATTCCTGTGGCTTTCTTTTGAATACTTTGTGCTACCTGATTAATGCAGATGAATCCTTTCAAAGCGCTGGGCAGTTCAAACCGAGCGAGGGTTTCTCGGTATATCATGCGCAACTTTCCTTTTCAGTATCTCACATGGCTTTAGTTAGTTGAATCTTCTATCAGGTGTATGCAATTAAGCATGGCAAACAGAAATGACAGTATTTTTATATGCAATGGTCAAAGCTCTTGGCAAAGGAACCTTTCACTTTTTAATATAATTTGCGTCTTAATTCTCTGAAGTCCTAGTGCCTGTCGCAAATTCTTTACATCTATCCCATCATTCAAAATGTAGATTTTCTTTTCCAGGTTTAAGGACATGGAAAAGAACATTTATAAACATCGACAACAGGAGGACATTGAGCCATCCCCAAATGTTCTTCCTAATAGTATGTGATGTGTAATGGCCTAAAATTGCAAATGTGAAAAAGCTTTCTTTTTTTTTTTTTTTTTTTGGCTTACGCACCTCAGGAACCGAAACTCCTGAAGTGGGCAGAGTCTGCTGAAAAAGAGAAGTTCATATTAAAGCTGAAAAAAAAAAAAACTGAAAACAAAACATCAAAGAATGTTCTTATATACTCCTGAAATAAAAACACATTTTCTTGGTAAAAATGTTCTGCTTCCTTCAGTTAAATAAACTAATAAAGTGTCATTAAATAAAGAATGCTTCTAGGGCAATGTGGATTAGTTCGGAAAATTATTTACCCAAAATAAAACTTCATCTGACCAACAAATACGAGTCAGCTGTCTTAGCTGTTTACTGAGACTTCTTTCTGGTGTGAAAAAAATTACATTTGCCTTTTAGAAGAACTGTTCTCGAAATGCCTTTATACTTCATTTAAAAAAACAAAAACCATTAACATTTTAATTTCACATTGTTTTTCACACAATTGCCTTTTACATCTAACATTAATCCTTTCCTATAATAATTATTACATGGTTTATAATGTTGCTTCTATTTCATGATACTCTAGAAATACATCCTATTGATAGCAGCAAGCATCAAAATGCAAGACTTTTTTTGTGGGACTCTTTGAGAACAAGATATTAATGTTATAAAATAAAATAAAATATGTTAATGCCTTCAATATGTAAGATATGTTAGTGCTGGCTTCATGACACTGCATGCTGAGCCAGTACTCCACACCTGAGTCACATTGGAGAGGTTTTCATTCCTGATTTTGTTTTGTGTCAACATACAGAGAATTGCTGCTTGCATGCCGCAGGATTTAGAACAAGACAGAAAGTTGGGAGAGTAGGTGACAAATTCCACGCTCAATTAGATGAAGCTTTCCATATTAGCAGGAAGCAAGGAAAGTTGAAGGGCAAATTCAGACTTCTCTGAAATCGTATGTCCCCGAAAAGCCGACCCCAGGAGTACATTTCATTTCCTTTCCCACCATCAAGCTGCGTCGAGGATTTTCTGTGGTCTGAAAACTCGGAGAGTACAGATACTCCTCTACCTCCTTAGGCAGGAGAACTGAAGGCAGGTATTAGGCGCCCAAGGAACAGTGGGCATTGATGAAGTCCATGAACTCCCAGATGGACTCAAAGATGTGCAGTCCAACCATGCACCAGCGGAATCCAACACCGCCAAAAGAGTTTAGCAAAAGAAGGAATCTAGGGTATACCTCAACAAAATTCAGCTGTCCAGGAATGCCACTCTCCTTAGAAAATATTTCCCCAATGTAATTAAAAATACTGTATCTGCAGATTTCTAGGAAAAGGACTCATGAAATCCTGGGGCATGTCCCCCATTGGCAGGACAATGCTGTAGAATACTGGCTGATATTTTGAGTATATATTCTTAACAGAGCTTTTAAGACTGTCCTAGAAATTTTCCTGTTTCCTTAGTATTCGTGATTTCTGAATCCAAGTCAAGCACAGACCACCTGAGCTCACGGGTATCAGACAACATGCTGGTGCTGGTGGCTAATTGGGCAAGGCCCAAGTTATTCATCAGAATTAAGATCTTTCTTTCCTAGCCCCAATTCTAGCTGAAAGTTTGAATAAAAATTGTAAGATACTATGAAGTCTTCCCTTCTTAGCAATTTACAAGTGTGTCCCCAGACAATGGGGCAATACATCTTTCTCCTTGGAAGGGATGTGCTCACACTGCCTGCCTCTGCAGCACACCAGTGCTAGGAAGTGACATGACAAGGTGGTTTCTCCACAGGGCTTAGCAAAACTACACCATGCAATGCAAAGTCTCAAGTGAATTCTTCTCCCATGCACTTCTACCAACAAGACAGATAAAGGAAACCTAGCAATCATTGTGGATATTAAATATGTACAATGATAATGGCTAATATTTAGAATTCCTGTTGATTTTCCTAGTGTGAGAATATTACGTCTTTTGGTAGAAAACCATCCTTCATCTTAGAACATTGCTACTGGGCCTGGTACAATGGTTCAGTGGCTAAATTCTCACCTTGCAACCGCTAGGATCCCATATGGGCACTGGTTTGCATCCCTGCTGCTCTACTTCCCATCTAGTTCCCTGCGTGTGGCCTGGGAATGCAGTGGATCACAGCCCAAGACCTTGGGACCCTGCACCTGCGTGGGAGACCCAGAAGAAGCTTCTGGCTACTGGCTTTGGATTGACCCACTTCCAGATGTTGGTGGGTATTATGTGGCAAACACAGACATGGTCTTGTGATCACAAGGCCTGGGAAAGTCACCCAAATGAGTGGAAACTGACACGACATGCATCAAGAGCATCCTACTTGTAGGCAGTCAAAGGGATCCAGCAAACCACAACCGAAGGGCTGCCCTTCCCCCTGAGACAGCTCTGCCCCTAGCTCTGAGTGCCCCCACCTCCAGGCATTGCTGCACCAGGGCAGGGCAGGCAGCTCTTCTCTGAGAGTGTGGGCATTGGCAATGGGACTGGCAGGATGAAGGGTGAGCATAGTCGAGAGCTCTGTGCCACACTGCCAAGAGGATGGTAGCCAAGTACAGCAATGAGAGCCTGCAGCTCTGACACCTGCCCCCAGCCAGAGCCAGGCTTGGCCTTTGGAGAACCACTACGAATTCACACCTGGATTAGATCTGATGAAATCAACAGAGCCACGAGCCCAGAGACTAGGCAGATGTGTAACCGGTGGACACCCCTATGAGCCATAGGGGAACCACCCTAGCACTCAGCATTTGGTTAGAAAGTAAACTCACACAGGAAAGTGTCCCGTGTGTAGTCAACTGCCCATAATTTTTAATATCAAGATGAGCACAGAAAATGATTTAGCTTCTTTTTTTTTTTTGCAAATTGTTATGTGTGGATAATTCAAAATAACATCTTTTTCAGCAGAATTAATACAGGAACTATGTATTTGTATTTAATCAATTGTGAAGTGTGAGTACCGCGGGATGTGATTGATTTTATTTAATCAGTATCCTTTTACTATTAAGTAGAATATACAGTAAGATAATTAGTTTAAAAGATGCATTTGCCTTCAAGGGACTTATTAAGTCCAATCTAATATCAAAGAATTTTTAAAAATCCTATTACTCTTAAGTATTAGGATATTCCTTGTCTTCATATTTTCTAATGTGTAATCATTTTAAATTGGCAATTTAATGCAAATTGTCACAGGACAAAGAAAAATCTTTGGTGGAGATTACTGGAGGTTTGATTTAGTTTAAATATAATAAGAGTACAGTACTAACATTAAAAGGGTCATCCGTTACTTCAAGACTAAAGTGAGATGAACAGAATCGTACTGTGCCCCTACTGAAAATAGTTCATATTTTTGAAAAATGGCTTTCACAAGCATTGACTCATTTAATCCCCCCGGACTAATCCAGACACCCCATTTTTCTACTGGGGAAAGTGGAAATTCGATTGGTGAGATGTGCAGCCCAAGAGACCAGGTCAGATCCAAGTCCTCGGGCCCTGTCTCCGGGTCTGTTTATTTCAACAGAAGATGACCCTATTTGTTTTCATTACTTCTTTTAGACATGTCACTATTTTAAAAATGGATTCTTTTTGATTTTCTTAAAAGATAATTTCCTGTGTCCAGCATGGTAACCTAGTGGCTAAATCCTCACCTTGCATCCACTAGGATCCTATGTGGGCACTGGTTTGTGTCTTATTGTCTACTTCCCATCCAGTTCCTTGCTTGTGGCCTGGGAAAGCAGTAGAGGATGGCCCAAAGCCCTGGGACACCGCAGCCATGTAGGAGACCCAGAAAAGGTTCCTGGCTCCTGGCTTCAGGTCAGCTTAGCTCCAGCTGCTGCAGCCACTTGGGGAGTGAGTCAGTGGATGGAGGATCTTTGTCTTTCCTTTACTCTGTGTATCAGCCTTTCCAATAAAGTAGAAAATAAACCTTAAAAAAAAGTAGTACTTTCCATTTTTTTTTACAGGCAGACAGTGACCGATACCTGAAATAGTAGCAGATAGAAGATCTTTTCCTATCCATCTGTCTTGCTTTACAAACAAAAGAAAGACTAAAAATGTTAAATATACATTATATGTACATTGTATGCCTACATTGCAGGACGACGAGCTAAGCATCTACTCCATGGCACTGACATTCCAAGTGGGTGCCAATTAAGAGCCCTAGTTGCTCTGCTTCCAATAAAGCTCCCTGCTAATGGCTAGGGAAAGTAGCAAAGGATGGCCAAAGTCCTTGGGCCCCTGCATCCACATGACCCTTACAGTCATTTAGGGAGTGAACCACCAGATGGAAGATCTCTCTCACTCCTTCTCTTTCAAATAAAATAGATCTTTACTAATGTATGTATATAAACATATACATATATGTATATTTATATAATTTATTTTCCACCAATGTTTTGACATACCTGATTAAAATGCAGCTATCAAAAGTCAAACCTATTGGAAGGTACACACATCAAAATTAATATGCAAGGTCTCTTGTATAACTAATTTTTATCCACGCTATTTTTAATGCTCGCAATAAAAAACATGTAACTTTTGGTGGTGGTTATTTCGCTATTATTAAATTATAATCACTCACAAAAATATTCTAACAGTAGTAAGTGCAATCTTTTACATTTCGCTAATTCTATCCAGAGTTTGTAGGGAGAAGGCCGTTACCACCCCATGTTACCCCCACTCAAAATGCAAGCCCTGTACATCTAAGAGAGGAAATAGAGTTCAACCGCCAGGGCATAAAGCATGTGCAGGCAACAGATGTTTGAAAACCTAAGATGCAGCACAGGTATCAATGGAAATGTTGAAGAATGTGTTTTTATCGAGCTGTCTGAACTGTTTCAAACACACATGAATGTTATAAAAGTACTCAACTGAATATCACAACCCTCTATCTACTGTTAATCTTTTCTTTTTCAAAATTCTGGTCTAGTTCCCTAAAATTCTTGCATGCATTAGCAGCGCTGGATATGCTAAGCATGCTTCCTCTGTTCACAGGGTGTGTGATTTTTGGTAAATTCATCACTCTGTGTAAATTTCATTTTATTGACATAGTCAGAAGGCATTGCACTGGTGCCTGGGAAATGAGATGTTTGATACACTGAGGGTCT